TCACATCTGGGGCTAGTTGAACTTATCCTCTGCTCCTCCCCAGTAGCATTTTGGCCATCTTCCGACCTGGGAGTCCCATCTTCCAATGGCATACCGACATATCTCTGGTTGTACTGGCAAGGATACTGGGGTGGTTTGCCATTGCCTTCCCCAGGGATCACGCTTGGTCTGACCTCTCTGCCACGACCGTCCCGTCTTGGGTGGCCCTTCACGGTTTCGCTCATGACATCATTGAGGTGCTCAAGCTCCAGCACCACAACAAGGCGGTGATCCTTTGCTGGAGGGAAATGTATGTCTTCACTGCAAAAGACCATGCAGACGCAAAATAGGCTCCACAGTCATTTGTGGTCCCACTACTAAAATTCTACATTTGGAAGACAATCATACTTGACCACAAGTGATAGCCTATGATATGATGCATATATGTGATGTATATATCCACAGATATATAAACCCAATTTTCCTAGTTCCAACAGACCTCACAACCTCTGAGGATGCTTGCCATAGATGCAGGTGAAACGTCAGGAGAGAATGCCTCTAGAACATGACCATATAGCCCAAAAAAACCTACAACTACCTAATTTAGGGTCATCAATTTTGGAAGCTGAAATCTTCTCCCTTGGATTTATGAATTAGTTTATGACAAAAGTTTGTGTTTGTATACACATTGGAATGGTAGTGAAAGACAATTTAATGTTCGTAGTATTGTGCACAGTATAGTAATGACAGAGATATATTTTTTCTCTTTCTCCTTGAGTATTGAAAATAAAGTGAATTGAATGACATGACAATAAGGATAGATTAAAGATAATATCTACCGCTATGGAATTTGCTGCTACAGGTGGATGCCTTTTGCTGCTACAGGCAGATACTTTTGTAGTACAATTATGCAAATGCATGACAATTACCAGCACCTATTAGTCATGATGACCATATTCGTTCTTATTACTGAAAAACCACAATAAGGATGAGATATTACTCCGTCCAGCAAGTGTAAGAATCTGATGCTGATTTTAGTGGATTCAGAGTGCAGTGTCCCCCAGTAGCTTTGAACAGCAACTATGGACCTCATCACATGGTCTTTTGGCTCTGTCCTAGGGTGCTTCCAGGACGGAGCCTAACAGAGCCCATCACATAACACAGGGCTATTTCTGGTGGGCCTCTGTCTTTGCTCCATCGTGGAAGAATCCCAGAAAACATGGGAGGCTTCACATGTTCTTATTGCTTAGAATTGGGCCAGCGTTCAGGGGAAGCCAAACAGTGACACTTTCCCCTGTGTGATGAGGAAAGCAGTGATGTGGGTGATGCGGGGCAACGGTTTCCCCTACTGCCTCACGGATTCACCACATTGCCCAGTGAATCCCCCCCTCCGCTGTCACTGGCATTAGGAACCTCCATGTGATGAGGTCCAATGTCTACCTTTAGCCACCACAGAATGTGCGAGTTGCACAGTAAGATAGCTGGAAGGTGCCATGTTTGGGGAAAGCTGGTGTAATTGAACAGATATTTTAATTCTTTTCCTCCCAAGTCACATAAAAGCCAACTTCAGGTTTTGATATGTGAAAATCCAGGGTGTCAAACAAAAATGTATATGGAGATTCTTTGGCTATTCTGACCATTAATTGTATCTCACATAGAAACAGAATAGAATTAAATAAGGGTGAATCGACAATAAGGATGCATTTCAACATGTCTTAGCTATGAAAAGGCAAGGGTTCAATATTTAATACATGGAAAAACTAACACCAAAGGAGTGTTTGGAATTAAGCCAACACTTAATTAACATTCTGGCAAAGGAGGAACATAAAAAAGGAAAACATGAGGATGTACAAGAGATGAGGCAAAATTGATTAATGAGACACAGACCAATTTTACACACTCCACGTTCAATGCATCTTAAGAGAAAATGCAAACAGTGCTTTTAAGCCCCCCCCCCAAAAAAAATACCCCAAAGCAAATCAAAACAAAAACCCCAGCAATCCCAAATAGAAAAAAACTAATGGTAGCACACTTTAAAAACTCAATCTTTGCATCCAAGATGCCCAAACAAGGATAGACACAGATGGATACCCAAGTTTCTGCTTCATTTCTTAAAAGGTGCCAAGAATTAGAAATTATTGCAATGATTAGTATCTTTCTTTCTTGAATTTCCTTTTAGGCACAGCTTGGATCAAACACCCTGTAGATTAGGAGTGATACAGATAGTTTTGCATGCTTGGGAGAAATGATTTTACAGCTTTTATATGCCACAGGGAGCTAGCTAACGAGTGGAATTAGATACTTTCAGAAAGGAAAAAAAGATTAACTCCACTTCTTTCGGGTAAATGGAATTGTCAGCACTGCCTACTGGCCCTATTTAACAGAAGGACCTCATAGACAGGTTGCAGGGACAGATGTTTTATCTGGGAACTTGTCCAGATCTTTAAACATGTATGCGCATATGTGCACACACAGATGATTTTACACAGAATATTTGCTTTTTTTTTCTTAATCAGGGCTCCAGCAGTACTGTTTGCTTATAGGGAACAAATGGTTAGATACTTCATGGTTCATGTCCTCAGGCAGAGCTTTACAAAGATTTCATGTTGGCAACACACATTTTAGACATGCATCATTTAGCAAGACAGTAATTCAGTTTTATTAGCCCAATGCGTGGGTTTCTCCAGAGTTTAACTCAAACTCTAGAGCATTTCTTGACTTTCCTTAGTATGAGACTAAATTGATCTAACCCAGTTTAAACCACAATAAGGACCTGAAACCCCTGGATGTCATTGAGGTACCAAGGAGACTGCACACCCAGTGTAGGGCCGGCTTTATCACAACAGATTAATCACCAGCTGCAGTAAATCTTTCCAACTGAAAGGTTGACCATTCGAAGCCAGGTCAGGGTGAACTTCAGCCCAGCTCCCTTGTCCATTCAGTGCTAGCCTTGGAGGAGGGCTAGCAAATTGAAACTGAATCCAGACAAGACAGAGGTCCTCCTGGTCATTCAAAAGGCTGAACAGGGCATAGGGCTACAGCCTGTGTTGGGTGGGGTTATACTCCCCCTGAAGATGTAGGTTCGCAGCTTGGGAGTGATCCTGGACTCATTGCTGAGCCTGGAACCCCAGGTCTTGACGGTGGCCAGGGGAGCTTTTGCACAGTTAAAACTCATGCACCAGCTGTGGCTGTACTTTGGGAAGTCTGATTTGGCCACGGTGGTCAATGCTCTGGTTACATCCCGAATAGATTACTGCAATGCGCTCTATGTGGGGCTGCCTTTGAAGATGGTTTGTAAACTTCAGCTAGTTCAATGGGCGAGAGCCAGATTACTAACTGGTGTGGCATACAGGGAGCATACCACTCCCCTGCTATGCCAGCTCCACTGGCTGCCGATCCATCTCTGAGCCCAATTCAAAGTGCTGGTTTTGACCTATAAAGCTCTATATGGTTCTGGTCCAGCTTACTTGTCCGAACGCATCCACCCCTACTTCCCACCTCATAATCTAAGATCACTCTGGGAGGCCCTGCTCTCGCTCCCGTCAACAGCACAGATGCGTCTGGCAGGGACAAGAGACAGGGCCTTTTCAGCTGTGGCCCCCCGCCTATGGAACACACTCCCAAATGAGGTAAGATCCACTCCCTCCCTCCTGGCTTTTAGGAAAAAAAATCATGGTTTTGGGACCAGGCCTTCGGGCACTAGAAGTAAATGTATGCAGCATTTTAGAAGGACAATGACTGGAACGACAAATCGACGGACAAGACTGTTTTATTGTTTTAATTATTGTTTTAATGCTTGTGGATGTATTGTTTTAAGTTGATTTATGTCTAATTGTAGTGTATAACTGTAATTGTTTGTGTTGGCATTGAATTTTGCTTTTACTTATGTGTAAACTGCTTTGAGTCCCCCTAGGGGTGAGAATACTGTAAATAAATAAATTACAAATACTGTAAATAAATAAATAAATAAATAAGCAATGTAAGTAGATGAACAGGAACCACATTAAGTGGGGAGATATTTTAGGCATGGTTTTTCGTAGGAAAGTTTATGAACAAAAAAAGCTCTTCAGCAAGGTTATGAAGCAACAACACCCTCCTGTGGCCGGAACCGAGCACAGCCTCCAAAAGATGTCGAATGATGAGAAAAAGCCTAAATATTTCTGTTGTCTATCATGTCATTGTATAATCAGCATTGAATGTTTGCTGTATATGCGTTCTCTGATCCTCCTTGAGTTCCCTTCAGAAACAAAATAGTCTTGAACCCCATATCAATTGGCCCATATTACAAAAAATACATCAAAACTGTGCTGGCATAAACATAGCGGAAAAAGCTACAATTTTTAATTAAAAAACTAAGAACAAGATGCAGAAAATATTAGGGATGAAATAGAGTTCAACAAGAAAAAACATTTTTTTAACTCAGAAAATGGAAGGTAAAGGTGGAAATAAAGAATCGTAAAATACATGATAGCAGCAACCCAATCAACTGTAGCCTTAGGATGGAAAGAGCAAAAAAAATGGGAATTTTAAAGATGGTATTAATATTTATCAGATTATATGCTTCAAGATTACATCACTGAAAGGAAAATAAAATATATGGATGGACATCTTAAGGAGAACTGGAAGTAAACATGGAAAGGGCTTATAGCCAAAGTAAAAGGGAAATGAACATACAAGGAATTGAATCAGACAATCTTCATGATCGAACAAATAAAATAATACAATGAGCAGAGGTACAACTGTTCTTGGAGGGAGAGGGGAGGGAAGAAGAGGGAAGGGGAAAATTGGAGCTATATAAGTAGCAGATAAGTATAGAATTGTAAAGGATAGGAAAACATGAACAATCAGAATGTTATGAGAATATATGGGAAAAACTGTAATGGTGCCTGTAACAATGTTATAATTTACTTATATACAAATATATATTTTGAAAACAAGCAAGATCATACTGATAGGTGGAATTTTGGAGTATTTTGCAATCAGAGGTGTTTAACTGAAATCATAAATCACCACATCCTTACCTGTGTACTAGCTGTTTGCGGCTTACACAAATGGCTGTCTCGTAGTCATGAGTGACACACACTTTATGTGGGCTGCACTTTACCTTCAAACATGGGTCTTTGGATGGATCAAGAGCTATTAAAAACAAGATATAAAGAAGACATTTAGAAAATTACCTCTTAGAACTCATTAGTCAAAATAACGAGCCAGACATCACATGAAAAACAAATCAATACTACTTTCTCAGTGCAGTTATCCTCAGAATTCTGTGATTGTGGTCAGGTATATTCACTGACCAAGGTCACCCAACAGCCAACCAATTACAATTTTAAGCTAGATCACATACCTAGATCCAGAATTCTACCACCTGCAATATCCTTTTTGCTGCTAATTACATGGGATGGTTACACATACTCTTTTGATTCAGTCAGTAGAATTAGAGAACAGTTTTGAGGAATAATCTTCAAGTTTACTTTCTGCTTCCCATTGGTCAATTGTGAATAAACAGGTACAGTGCCCATCTAGGTCACTACTTTTTAAACATTGGGTCAGAACATCAAATGGGGTCCACTTGGCTCAATGTCAGGGCTACAAAAATTTGGTAATAGTACAGGCTTCTGAACTCCACCCATTTAGACAAATCTGTTAGCAATAATGTATAGTGCTCCCAGTGGACAGTGCAGAAAATGCTTCAGCTGTACTCCACAAAAAGGAAAACCAGCCTGTTTAGCAAGCCTTGCAAATGCTGATTTGTTATCAGTAAATGTTTGGTTTTCATACCTATTGGTTTTCATACCTAGTACCTAGGGTCACATAAAAACTTATTGGGAAGAAAGTGGTCCTAAGTGGAAAAGTTTTTAAAGCCCTGATCTAAATTATAAAGTAGCAAAACCAATGTTGGAAGACAAAAAGAACAATGGCTTCAAACTACAAGAGAGGAGATTCCATCTGAACACGAGGAAGAACTTCCTGACTGTGAGAGCCGTTCAGCAGTGGAACTCTCTGCCCCGGAGTGTGGTGGAGGCTCCTTCTTTGGAAGCTTTTAAACAGAGGCTGGATGGCCATCTGTCGGGGTGATTTGAATGCAATATTCATGCTTCTTGGCAGGGGGTTGGACTGGATGGCCCATGAGGTCTCTTCCAACTCTTTGATTCTATGATTCTATGAAACATATTTTGTATGAACAAACTAAGTGCCACCCTAAATGAAAGTTCTGTTCTGATCACCAAACATCTAGATTTGGGAAGGGGAGAAAATCCACTACATCTGTTATGTATTTGAGAAATCTATATTAGAACTGATTTTAAAGGTATATTAGGCCATGCAAGAGTATTGAAGGGAAACAGTATATAGAATGTCACTAGTCTCTCATGTATGGATAGAGACTTATTTGGGAATATAATCCTACAGGCTGACCCCAATTATAAAGGATAGAGGGACTATTTAAATAATAAATCCCAGCAGCTGTACCACCACTTGGTAATGGAATGTTGCTTTAGGTAATTAAAACCCAACATCAAAAGCTGTAATAAGCTATAATAAAGCTGGAACTTTCTTCTGGCTGAAAAACCCTTTTGAAAGAACTCTGACCACCACCAAACTTAAAATCAATGGTAAGCCCTTGGCTTACTTGAAGTATCTTAGGCAAGGGTGTGCTGGATTAGCACTCAGGATTGTGTTCTGAGGTAACACTGAAAAGATTACTCTTTTAAAATATATGCTGCCACCATTAGACTTTTGATTGCTGCAGGAAACTGCTTTTAAAACTTCACCTACAGAGGCACACATGAGACAGATGCTGTGAACAATATAACAATGATGTTTATTTAAGTGAACTTGAACAAAACAAGCATTAAGCTTAGCTGTTTGGAAAAATTGTCATAAAAGCATGTGATTTCTTTAAGCAGTTCAACTTAGTTGCAAGTAACACTCCTCTCTCCCTCCAGAAATTACTGACAGGATCCCTCTCTGCCAAGCAATTCTAAACTCCTCCACAGATAGTCCTTTCCTGGATCTATCTCTACACTCCTCCACCAGCTATCTTCTTTAATAGCTGTAAAATCTTCTCACTAGCTATCTCTACTAGCTAACTGACCAACTTCAGGGCCCTCTCACTATTCTCTTCTCCCTCCAAACTCCCAACTCTTTCTTCTCTGACACCCAGACTCAATCTGAGCTAACAGGGTTTTAAAGCACACCCTTAAAGTCATTTTTTCCCTTTTCTAAGTTAAGCTCCGCCCACTTTCTCCCAGCCAATCACTATCTCCCCTCATTTCCCTCCAAGCTGTTTCTAAGCATGCCCTCTTCAGGAAATGAGATTCTAAAATGGATTTCCCCGGCACCCTTTCCAAAATGACTGCCAAACATCCTGGGCCTACTTTTCTAGGCTTTCCCTAGCTTAACAGGTAGGGAATTCACCACATATAGCACTCTAGACTCTTGTCTAATACTACTCATAACCATTAAAATAACAATTGCGGGCTATTTAATGATTGCTATTGTGTAGCAAAGTCAATGCAAAACTAATTGTTGAGGTCAATGTGAAACTTAGCAATTTTGTGTTTCTACAATGTATGATTTTCTGTATTTGATTGAACATAACACTAACATTAACAAAAACACAGCATGCCAGTTCCAGCCAGCATGGCACACAAATATTAGTGTAGAGTGGAGATACTATTATTACCACAACAATTACAATTTTAAATAGAGCCTTTCATTTACAAAAAGTCCAAAAGGTCCTTTGAAGCTCTCTGCATATATGTATAGATGATGCTCTGTTTCCCTGTTAAATATAATTACATTCTGCAGTGCAATGTAGCACCATCATGGCACAGCTTTGAAGAAACTAATTAAGCTATATCAGAGTCAAACTGATATATAGAAAGAAAAGTATGTAAAAATTAGAAATTTTCCTAGACTACAAGGATCAATAAAATTGACACATCCTTAAATATTATTTTGGGACATAAAAACAAGTACACCTGTTATATGTAGTAGATCACATAAACAGGCAAAGAGCAAAACAAAAGGAGAGATGCCTTGAAATAGTTTTTAATTAAGATTCTAACAACAAACCAGCTCCTTGGTTTACTGAGGAGCTGGCAGTGATGAAGCAAAGGAAGAGGGAACTAGAGAGCGTGTGGCGTTCGGACCCGAGCGAGTCAAATCGAGCACGGTTTGTGTCCTTTCTAAGGGCATATGCCGCGGCAATAAAAGCCGCAAAGAAAACTTTCTTTGCGGCCACTATTGCGTCTGCAAAAAACCGTCCGGCGGAGTTGTTTCGGATTGTCAGAGGTCTTTTAACTCCCGCCACCTCAGGCGGGAGCCCTGACAATTCGGTCACGCGCTGCGAAGCATTTGCTCGGTTCTTTGCAGACAAAGTCGCTTTGATCCGTTCTGAGCTGGACACCATGTTAAATGCAGTCTCTGAGGATGTGACACGAGCACCTGCTTGTCCTATTTTGATGGATTCTTTTCAGTTTGTGAAGCCCGAGGATGTGGACAAGATACTTGGAGGAATGAGGCCCACCACGTCCATCCTAGACCCCTGCCCATCCTGGCTTCTGAAGGAGGCCAGAGGGGGATTGGCTGAGTGGGTCACGGTGGTGGTTAATGCCTCCCTTCGGGAAGGCAAGATTCCAGCGTGCTTAAAACAAGCAATTATAAAACCGCTGTTGAAGAAACCATCACTGGACCCCACTAAATTTGACAACTTTCGGCCTGTTTCCAATCTCCCCTTTTTGGGCAAAGTCATGGAAAGCGTGGTGGCCTCACAACTCCAGGTATTCTTGAGAGACACGGATTATCTGGATCCGGCACAGTCTGGTTTCAGACCGGGACATGGAACCGAGACGGTCTTGGTCGCCTTAGTGGATGATCTGCGCCGGGAGCTAGACAGGGGGAGTGTGTCCCTGTTGGTGCTCCTGGACCTCTCAGCGGCCTTCGATACCGTCGACCACGGTATCCTTCTGGGGCGCCTTGCGGAAATGGGTCTTGGGGGCACTGCTCTGCAGTGGCTCCAGTCATTTCTGGAGGGTCGTACCCAGAAGGTGTTATTGGGGGACTCCTGTTCAACACCACAGCCTTTGACCTGTGGGGTTCCACAGGGCTCTATACTGTCCCCCATGCTGTTTAATATCTACATGAAGCCGCTGGGTGAGATCATCCGGAGTTTCGGGGTGCGGTGTCATCTGTCCGCAGATGATGTCCAACTCTGTCACTCCTTTCCACCTGCTACTAAGGAGGCTGTCGAGGTCCTGAACCGGTGCCTGGCCGCTGTAATGGTCTGGATGAGGGCGAACAAACTGAAATTAAATCCAGACAAGACAGAGGTACTCCTGGTCAGTCGCAAGGCCGAACAGGGTATAGGGTTACAGCCTGTGCTAGACGGGGTCGCACTCCCCTTGAAGGCGCAGGTTCGCAGCTTGGGTGTGACCCTGGATTCATCTTTGAGCCTGGATCCCCAGGTTTCAGCGGTGACCAGGGGAGCATTTGCACAGCTTAGGCTCGTGCGCCAGCTGCGCCCGTACCTTGGAAGTCTGACTTGGCCACGGTGGTACACGCTCTGGTCACATCCCGCCTTGACTACTGCAACGCTCTCTACGTGGGGCTGCCCTTGAAGACGGCCCGGAAGCTTCAGCTAGTCCAGCGCGCGGCAGCCATGTTACTAACGGGAGCGGGACGCAGGGAGCACACAACGCCCTTGTTGTTCCAGCTCCACTGGCTGCCGACCTGCTACCGGGCCCAATTTAAGGTGCTGGTGTTATCCTACAAAGCCCTAAACGGTTCCGGCCCAAAATACCTCTCGGACCGCATCTCGGCCTGTGAGCCCACGAGGGCCTTGAGATCGTCTGGGGAGGCCCTTCTCTCGATCCCGCCTGCCTCGCAGGCACGTCTGGCGGGGACGAGAGAGAGGGCCTTCTTGGTGGTGGCCCCCCGGCTGTGGAACGCCCTCCCTGTTGACATCAGACAGGCGCCCTCTCTTATGGCTTTCCGTAAGAGCCTAAAAACCTGGCTATTTGAGAAGGCATTTAACTGAGGGCTACATTATCTGGCAATGACAACTGGAACGGAATATGGACTATGAGATTGGTTATGATTCTGATGTGACGGAGCGGATTAATTAGTGTAAT